ATGTTGGATGGCTGGCTATAATTAATGTTTAAAATTAGGGGAAAAAATATTTTCTATCCAGACATCAATAGCTGTATTAGTATCAGTGATACTGACCTGTCATGATTCTGCCCTCGTGTCCTTGATTTTCTCTAGTCTTGAGGCAGGATCATGACAGAATCATGTTTTGTGTGCAAGCACAGGGTCTTGTGTTTTGAGCCATGTGCTTGTGTTGTCTCGTTACGTTACCCCGCCCCCTTGTTATCCTCGTCTCGTCATCATTGTCTAGTCAGTTTCACCTGTCCTTGTCTAGTCAGCTTCACCTGTCTTTGTCATTAGTGTCTCCCTTTTTAATCTCCTTGTGTTTGCTGTCCTGTGCCGGTTCATTGCCTTACGTGCCATGTCTATACCCAGTGAGTACCTTGTTTTGTCTAAAAGTTGCGATCTTGTAAAAGCCTGTCTTGTTCCTGTTTAGTTTTATGTCAAAGTCTTAGTCTAGTGTGGTCAGTCGTTTACTTTATCTTGTACTGTTTTGCCCCCTCGTGGGTTTTGTTTTCTCTGTTTTCTGTTATAATAAACGTTGTGTGTTTGCATACCGTCTGCGCTTGGGTTCTTCTGCTATCATCATAACACTGACCTTCATTCATAAAAAGATGCCATTAAACAAGTATTTAAAATATACTGTCTTTATGTTGTCTCTATATTCATTTGTAGATTAACTGTGAAATTATTACATTATACAATATATAAACTAATACAAACCTATAAAAATGTTTGTTTGTAGAATGTTTGAAATGTCAATCTCATTTGCAATGCCAATTGCAACCTCACTCACTCATACAAAGTCAATTATTCATCTTGGCAATATTTGCTAAGTATATGGCTGTTTGTGGGGGTTTACCCTAACTACTTGTCTTGCTGGTTATATTGATATTGATTTGATCTTAAAAAAAGAATAAACAGTGCTGGGTTTCCTGGCATTTTGGCAAAGACAGGTGTTATCTGAAACCTTATTCTCTGTTGGGGAAGGTTTTTTTTTTCCTCCTCTCCAACCTTTACTTCCCCGTAGATTAGCTTTTCCTACCATTCAGTCGGTAAAAAAAAAATTCCGTTCTCATAAAGATGGGATGGGGGGGCCCCCATACGTACCTTCGCTTTGGGCCCCCAATTTGCTAAATCCGCCACTGGGTATTACTGTGCTCAATTGGCCTGTCAACTATCCTGACCTGAACCCCATAGAGAATCTGTGGGATATTGTGAAGAGAAAGTTGAGAGACGCAAGACCCAACACTCTGGATGAGCTTAAGGCCGCTCTCGAAGCATCCTGGGCCTCCATAACACCTCAGCAGTGCCACAGGCTGATTGCCTCCATGCCACGCCGCATTGAAGCAGTCATTTCTGCAAAAGGATTCCCGACCAAGTATTGAGTGCATAACTGAACATAATTATTTGAAGGTTGACTTTTTTTTTGTATTAAAAACACTTCTTTCATTGGTCGGATGAAATATGCTAATTTTTTGAGACAGGAATTTTGGGTTTTCATGAGCTGTATGCCAGAATCATCAGTATTAAAACAATAAAACACCTGAAATATTTCAGTTGGTGTGCAATGAATCTAAAATATATGAAAGTTTAATTTTTATCATTACATTATGGAAAATAATGAACTTTATCACAATATGCAAATTTTTTGTGAAGGACCTGTATTAGTGTAGGTATTTCACTCTTGATGGCAGCAGTGGAATAACTTAAAACGGAATGAGATTAAATTGTTTTTAATGATGAATGCACCATTGTGTGTTCAATGAGTAAGGTTAAATGTAAATTGAATGTAAATGTCATTCAATGATGTTTGTGACAGTTGCTGGTGGCAAATTTATGAACAATTTTACATTGTGCACTTTTAATACATCTTTTTTCTAATCTAGAGCATGTTGATTTAGTTTACCCCAAAGTGTTAATTAATGAATTAATTAACAAGCATGTACTAACGTGTAGTTAAGATGGTATATTCATGCAGGAATTCATATGACTCATGTCGTAGGTAAGGTTAGTTCTTCATTAGTACATGTCTTATCTCATCATTAGTTCATAGTAAAGTAATTATTAATTCAGGTATTAGTACATGATTATTCATGTACTGTTATTGTAAAGTGTTACCAAATTTCCTTTTGTTGAAACAAAACACACACACACACACACACACACACACACACACACACAGTGTGAAACACTCGCTATGCACCATTATGAATGCCTGTGTGTGCGGCAATGTGAAACAATGGCAAGCACACACGCAACTTCCACGGAAGACTGTATTCTCGTACTCTCGAAATATTTCGACTTTAATCTCGAAATGTTTCGACTTTAATCTCGAAATGTTTCGACTTTAATCTAGAAATGTTTCGACTTTAATCTCGAAATGTTTCGACTTTAATCTCGAAATGTTTCGACTTTAATCTCGAAATGTTTCGACTTTAATCTCGAAATGTTTCGACTTTAATCTCGAAATGCTAGTTTTTTGTTTTGTTTTTACAGATTTTTTTTTTTTTTACGTTGCGGTTCAGGGCTTCCGTAATACGCTGATGTGATTTGCTGCTCAAGAAACATTTCTGATATTATTAATGTTTTTTTTTTTTAAAAGTCAGGATTCTTTGATAAATAGAATGTTCAAAAGAGATCCGAAATAAAAATGTATCCGACATAAAAAAGCTTTCTTAACATGATAAATGTATTTACTGTCACTTATGATTAATTTAATGGGTCCTTGCTAAATAAAAGTAGGCTATTACTTTCTTTAATTTCAAATGTAGTGTATAATGTTACAAAAGCTTTCTATTTCAGATAAATGCTTTTATTTTGAACTAGCTATGATTTGTGTGTAATGTGACTTTTTTTTGTATGACCTTAAAATTAGTTTTATAATTAAATTGTACATAAATAGGTTAAGCAAAACAAATATGTTTATGTCTGAGAACCTTTTAAACACATATGACCCTGAAATGACATAAACTGTGTGATCCAGTACAAATATTTTGAGTGTCCCTTATTTTCCTGTAAAGAACCACGATTGTCCCGTATTCTTCTTTTCTGAAATTGGCAATAATGGCAACATAGCTAGTGACTGAACTGTTGTGTGACAGGAATTGAGAACACACACGATCACTCACACACACACACACACACACGGCAGTTGTTTTTGTGCTAAATTTAAAGTCCTTAAAGAAATATAATCCACAGTTTTTTGTTACTTTAAATTGATTACTTTATTCAAAACTGATTATTCTTTGTTCTTCAATAACATTCTTGCACACATTTAGATTGTGTGGATCTTATTTCAGTAAATTATCTCTCATTGTTACATCTATCCTGGCCTGTGTGACAACAATAGTGTGTTAGTTTGCAACTTTGTGTTTGACCATAACTCACATAATCTGAGTTTGTGTTGTACATGTCCAAGTGAGTAATATTTCTAGCAGACAAATGTGGCACGTATCAAACTTTGAGAGATAAAGCACAAACAGCCACTGAGTTACCGATGCTCAAACAACAGGTGTTCCTCTCATCCCCGTCTCACACTGCTGAACACTGCTGTTCTCAACTATTACTATCAAAAACATAGTGTCTAAGTCTTAATGAAATCACTCATTAGTGTTTTTTTTAGTTCAGCCCAAAATAATGCAACAAGTAAATAAACATCTATACAAAGCTGTTGCACAAACATAAAGACAGTGTTTCTTCTGTCTTCAGGGAAATGATGTGGAGTGTGTTTGCATATTGATCAGATCTTCAGTGTGTGAGAGTGTTTATAGTGCTGTGAGTTTAACACTTCGTCACTGACAGCTTTTCTTCATTCAGACTGAAAGTAAACCACCGATAAGAAGAATGATGATCATCAGCGTCTGTATCTGGACTCTCATTCTTTCTGTTCAAGGTTCATTTACTCTATTAATAACTCAAGATGTGATTTATGTTCATGCTTTTGATGTTCAATATAGATTTTATACTGGATACTTTGACTCTAATACTTATGATCTAATGAAATGTCATTCACCGAAATTACAGGACAGGTTTCTGTGACTCAGACTCCCTCAGAAGAAGCTCTTCTAGGAGGAACAGTCACTATAAACTGTCAAACTGACAGAGGAATTGGAGATCGTACTTATGGTTGTGGCTCCTGTCTCTCCTGGTATCTGCAGAAACCTGGAGAAGCTCCTAAACTCCTCATTTATTACATTAGATCACGACAGTCAGGAATCCCATCTAGATTCACTGGCAATGGAGCAAATTATGGAACAGATTTCACTCTGAGCATCAGTGGAGTCCAGACTGAAGATGCTGGACATTATTACTGTATGAGTTTACACTACATCAACAGTAACTGGGTGTTCACACAGTGATAAAGAGTCGTACAAAAACCTCCGAGTCACAGTGACTGAACTGAAACTGCAGCTGCTCAAACACTTTCTCACACACTACTGACACACACACACACACGCACAAATAAACTGCACCTGTGTAACACAGTATCAGCTCTATTAGACTGTGATCTGTCCTGTGACAGACAGAGATAAAAACAGTCTGTATATTGATATCAAATCAAACAAACAAAACGGCCACCATATGTTTTTGAGCTTTTACAAGTAGCTTTATCTTTCCCTCGAAGTTTATCAAGATAATAATAATGATATTACTCATAATAACTGTTCTATCAAAACTACTGACTCTATCATTCATCTCAGTGCATTGTTAATGATTAAAGCAATTTTAATACATTCTGATGACCTATGACCTCTAGAATGACCTTTGCCCTCTAAGGAAGTTCAATGACATATTACTGTAGCAACTCTGTCATTTGAATCATCAGAAAGCCTGTAGCTTCAGACACAGGAATAAATGTTTATGACTCGTAACATGGAAAAATATCCTAAACACTGTTATGATTTATGAGCATCATGTGTTGGAATCCTTACACAGATTTACATATAGATTATTTGCATCGCAGCTCACGCTTCAGGAGGATTTATAACTCTGAGTCTGAACACTGAGAATCTGAACCAACAGCAACCATGAGCTTCATCTTCATCATCTTCATCTGGATGTTCTCCAGCTGTTTCACAGGTCAGGAAATATGAAGTTAAACTGCATTATTTTAACTGATTAACAGTGCTTGAAATATTATCCAAATATGTAATTCTGAATATTTATTTCTTCTTCTTGATGTAGAATCAGTTGGTGAAGTGACAGTCACTCAGACGCCTGCAGTGAAACCTGTTCCTCTCAGAGACACAGTTACTATATCCTGTAAAACCAGTCCTGAAGTCTATCAGGGTTGGGGTGTTCAGCCTCTATCCTGGTACTTACAGAAACCTGGAGAAGCTCCTAAACTCCTGATTTATTACGCAAACCGCCTCCAGTCAGGAACTCCATCTAGATTCAGTGGCAGTGGATCTAACAGTGATTTCACTCTGACCATCAGTGGAGTCCAGACTGAAGATGCTGGACATTATTACTGTATGAGTGTACACTGTCCTAGTAGCTGTGTGTTCACACAGTGATAAAGAGTCGTACAAAAACCTCCGTCAGTCAGAGTCACAGTGACTGAACTGAAACTGCAGCTGCTCAAAGGAGGATCTGAAATAACATCGTCACACTTGCATTTGAAATAAAACCATATAAATTAATCTGACACTCTTAATAATTATAGAGTTCAGAAAGAGATTTTGTGCTCTTATAGATCAGTGACACATTTGAGATCTGAGTGATTGTTCAGTTCAGTTTATCATTTTAAAATAGATCTTAATTTTCATAATACTCAGTATCCTAACTTGTCATTTATTTTTTATGCACTGTATTCATACTATAAACTGCAGACAGTAAGAGTTTTATATTAGCTTGCTGTATTAATTGTAGCCCTTGATCAACAGTTCAGTTTAAGGCAAGACAAGTTTATTTATATTGCACATTTCATACACTACACCGTAAAAACTAATTTGTTCAGTATACTTAATTCAGTTGTGTGTTGCCTTAATTTAATTAAGTAAGCATAACTTAATTACATCAAGTTCTTCTTAATCTATTTAAGTTTTGTCAACTTAATTCTATCTGTGATCCGAGGAAGTGTACTCCCAGAGTGCATTGCGGCATGAATAAATTAATTGCTTTGTTTTACCATTTTTGGCTTTATTTTACCATTAAAATTGTATTTGCTATCGTTATTGGTGTTATACTGACAAGAGACAGCAAATAAAATTGTAATGGTCTAATTAATTAAATTAATTAAAGCCCTTGATCAACAGTTCAGTTTAAGGCAAGGCAAGTTTATTTATATTACACATTTCATACACTATGGCAATTCAAAGTGCTTTACATAGATTGATTGATACATAGATAAACTTCTCATCTGGCAAAACACCGGTGTATCATATTTCCACAACTCCCAGTTTTGCTCTGATTTCCTCATGCTGGTTACACTGTGTGTGTGTGTGTGTGTGTGTGTGTGTGTGTGTGTGTGTGTGTGTGTGTGTGTGTGTGTGTGTGTGTGTGTGTGTGTGTGTGTGTGTGTGTGTGTGTGTGTGTGTGTGTGTGTTGTTTGTACTGCCTTGTTTATACTTTCTCCTGGTATGGCGTGTGGAAAGTGCCTTGGATTTCCTACCGAAGGAGACAGTCGTGTATTTTTACGTGAGAGAAGGAGTACGTCGCTCCACAGACGCGCGACACTAACGTCGCCACAACAATAAATTAATATCTTATTCTTGTGTTTTTTTTTTCTATCTTTCTTATCAATCATTGTTAACTTTTTTTTCTTTTACTTTCCTTGTGTTCTTGATACATGTTGTGTAGAAAGTCTGCAACCTTTCAGTGTGACTTGATTGACTGACCAAATCTGAATGATTATTCCTGCGGCCGATCTCTGTGTTTGGATATAAGAAGCCTCTCTCTGACACACACATGTCCTGTGAGGAACTGTTGAGTTTTGACAATAAGTTCCTTTTGCTTGTTTGATATGTTTAATATTTTGAATAGGCCTAGATTAAATTCTAGTTTGTTTAGTTTCTTTGATACTATGTATTTTATTTAATTAAGATGATTTTAGATGTATGATTTAAAACATGCTAATGTGTTTGTATTACATTAATTGTTCCTATTTTATTTATGGTTTTATTAGAAACCAACAATAACATCACTTGTCATCAATGAGAAATGTCTACTCCTACATGTTAAATAAACTGGGAGAAAAAGACAGATGACTGAATGAGTTTTAATGGGCACCATTCCGGCAACAGCCAAATCAGCCTAAAATTCCTTCATAATTTCTACATATTGTGTATTGTATGCAAAGTTGTATGTCATTAATGTAATCTCTATAACGTTTACAAGCATAATAATAAAAATAATAAAAAATGACTCACGTTAAAAATTCCTCACTATCTCCTAGAGATTAAAGACTATGTACAAATTATACACCATCAGTTTCTATTTTATGTCATTTTCACAATTATTAACAACAACTTTAAAGATGAACACATAAATTCACTAATTATAATCTATCAACATAATATTCTGGAATGTGACATTCTGAGTTTCACTTTTGGTATCTTCTGTAAATATTCATGGATTTTACACTTGATCATACAATGGGCGAATACTAGTAGCTCACAATATCAAACTTTATGCGATGTAGTTTTCAGGTGAAGGCGACAAGATAGCCTATTATTTTCAAGATATCTACAATGACAAAATAAATGACTGGAAAATAGGCTTTTAATCACAAAATACATATTTTTTGGTCATAAAGATAGATCTAAGTGAACAATAGCCTTTAGCCCAATAGCCCAATTGGTTCAATTAATGTATCAAAGTAAGTAATCATATTGTTTAAGTGAACAACACTTTTAAAATACATTAAGAAATGTATAATGAATAAACTTCTGTATATCATGGATAATCAGAAATGCCTGCAGAGAGCGCCGTCTCCTGCCGATTGTTGTTACACTTTACATCAAGAGCAAACCATTGTTTATCTAATATTTAAAGGAGCTGTATGTAAGAAATTTATTTCAATTAATCATAAAATGGCCCTGAAATGTCACTAGACATTAAGAAATCATGTACATTTCAAATACTTATATCACTGACAACAGTAGTCTGGCCAGGATTTTGTCATTTAAAAAGTGAAGTTGCAGCCCTCAACTGATGTTGATGTTGTCATGTTGTGTTTTGGTCTGATGCTCCTCCCTCCACCTATCTACCAATCACGAAGTCAGTAGTGTTGCGGCATCCAGGTTGCCAGCTCTGCTCTAGTTACCACAGCTGCAGCTCGTCACGTTCCTGCTGGATCCTGCAGCCGATCTGGCAACCTCGAGTCAGGGAGGAGGGGGAGGGGATACACCACTCTACAGTAATTTGAAAGTGATTGCAGTACTAGTTTTGGCCACAATCTTACATACAGCTCCTTTAATTGCACTTAATCTGTAATGTTTGGCCACATCTTTATGATAGAAATGCTACAGCCACTCATTTCTTGAACAAGAATGTGAGCATCAGAACATGCAAACTCAGAGCAAGGCTTTACCGTTTTATTTTAAACCCTCAACCATCAATCTGCATATTTAGAAATATTTTTATGCAGTCTCCTGTGTTGTTGGCGTATGCTATTAAATTGTTACAAATCAGTTCAACAGCACAAGTTTCGTCCACATTCCCAAATGCACATTATTGTGGCAAAAAAAAAAAAATTACCGTAGCATAGAATAAAATAATTCAAGGACCATAAACGGTTTTGCCACAAACTTAACTCTGTTGAACAGAACAGTATAAGAGGGATAAAGGGATAGGGATCTTTATGTCCCAAACATGCATTTCATTTTCTTTCTACTTTGGAATATAAAAATTACATGGAGACTTATGGAAGACTTTTCCATGTCCCTCAAAAATATGATTTTTGGGATTTCTTGAGATAAATACAATGGCTCATTTCAGAGTGAAAACTCTTGAAACCAATACCATTTACAGTACAACTCACATATTTATCTGTTTTCTTGTGTCTTTTCCAATGTTGTTGTTGTTTTTTCTTGGTCGCTCAGCATTTTACTGTATTAATTGTCATTACTTGAAGCCACTGTTTGTGTCTGCTTGCTCACTTTTAGGAAAACAGTGTGAATGAATGGTGATGATAGACTGACATTGATTTATTGTATGTTGTGGGAAGTCATCTATAAACTCTTAAATTCATCATTACTAATAGAAGTTGTGGGTTGTCAGAATAGTAGGTTCATTAAATATATTACAAATTGAGCGTCAGCGTCAGTTCTGGCAGGCCAGGTAGTCAAGCCGCTGCTTATGCTATTTGCTATCAACACTGTCCCGTCAGCTGATCTGCTCCAGCTGAGCTGCATTAGCTGGTTAACTCCCCTCGCTGCTCAATGGCCAAAGCTCAAACAAGGCGCCCTATTTAAAGCTCATTCACCTTGCTCATACATGCTTGCTGCTCGCTCTGCTGGCTCGCTGCTCGCTTCTGCTGCAATATTGACCCAGGACTCGACGTGATTCATTCTCCATTCATCTCTGAAAATCTTCACGAGGCTAAGTTCCTTTTTAATATTCATTGCTAAAAGCTATCAGTGTGTTGACAACATGCTTCTTGTTAATGCTATCCGTGTGGCATTTGGGCTTATCTAACTAGTCGTTTTCATAAAAATGCTTATGCGATCATATTGGCTATGTGGGTTATCTGTTGTCATTGGCAACTGATCGCGTTGCTCACGCTGGCTTTTACCACTATGCAGCGCAGATTCAAACAGCTTGCTGTGATAGGAATTAACTTCTGTGGACTGCCTCCGGACCGTATACAGCTCATTCTTACGCATTGTGCAGCAACTACGGCGGCGACACTCACTCCGGTTTAACCCTTTAAGCTATGGGGCGGTGGTTTCTGCTGCTTACGAACGATACCTCCGTCCCGATGTTCGGGATATTCTTGACGACCAGAAGCCATGAGCTCAAGTCTCTGATTTGTTTCGTTAATAAAACACATTTGATCATTATTTTGCTCGCGCTCTGCTCAGTTAACGCCCCTGAATGCGCTATCAGCTGTTAATTTATTCATCTAGCTCGTTCTCAGAGGTGGATTAGTTATCTATCCATAGAGCTTACACTGTAGACTGTCAAACAGTTTAAATACAGATAATCTAGGTAACAGCATGTTTTAGCTATTGTGGCCTTGATTAGTCATTTCAGTAATTAATATTTTTACTATTATAAATCGCTAAATTAGGGCGGCTCAGTCGACACCGTTCGAGACACTCAATTTTGTTTTGGGGGGAATAGCTCATGTAGTCAAATAAATCATCCTCTGTATCGAGGATTGCCAGGTGTGGTTTTGTTTGGGGGGATATTTTAGCTCTCACAGTCTAAAACTGTGTGAGCGTTCCCTAATGCTGCTGCTGCTGTCCTCTGACTCTCTGCTATTTCATGGTGCTCATGAAAGGTCAGAGGACTCCCTGAACAGAGCCATACCGCCAAATTTCAATTCAGGAACATCAACCTGTTTGCAATCTATTCAATTAAAGGAACACTCCGACTTTTTGGGACTTTAGCCTATTCACCTTATCCCCCAGAGTTAGATAAGTCCATACATACCTTTTTCATCTCCGTGCGTGCTATAAGTCTGTTTGACGCACCCACCGCTAGCCTAGCTTAGCACAAAGACTGGATGTAAATGGTTGCAGCTAGCATACTAATCCAAATAAGTGACAAAAT